TGGGAAATGCTTGATTTTGATGATTTTTAGCACAAAAATGGCCGCCATTCGGCCATCTTAAATCAGATCGTGAAACAAATTGACGTGCATATGTATAATATCATGTATGATGTATGTGTGAAGTTTGATTGTGATTGGTCCAGGCATTTCTAAGATACATGTCCGACGCACACACATACGCACGCACGCACAGACGCACGGAGGTCAAAACATAAGTCCCCGTTTTCGGACTGCGTCCGAACGGGGACTAAAAATATTTGCATTGCTGCAATTTAGTATTGACAATTGGTATGCAAAATTATGTATTATAATCAACCAATCTCCCATTATGTTGTTAGAATCAATAGGGGCCAATCAGGTGACTTGTACTATAAAGGCATCAACACCTTCACTGCAAAAGATTCTTGGAGTGGTTAATTTTCATTCATCTCGAATATTCAAATTTTGTCAAAGTTTACTGGTACTGGTTTGCAATATACATAATGTACTAAGACATATTCAAATTTTTTAAGGAGATTTAAAAATTGTTGACATAAGAAAATCCTTAAAAATATATCTACATGTATCTATGCAATTGTATGAGTTATCAAAGACTTAATTCAGCTCAGATTTCTCCCCAGATCATTATAGAGTAGCCTCCCACCACCTCCCTAATTCAGGATACTGTAAAATAATTTATTTTCACTATTTTCACTGAAGGGATGATTCAGTGGAAATAAAATCCAGCGAATATACCTTTTTTCCTATGTTTTACATTCATCAAAAATCAGTGAAATTAAACTCTATACAAATCATGAAAAATGTTTTTTCAGCAAAAATTAATTCCAGCTAAAATAAAGTATTTCACAGTATACAATAGAGCTTAGTCATAACACTGAATATATAAAGGTGATTACCATATTATATTAATTTATTATGCAAATTACTCACTGCACTATGCTATTTTCCTTGGAAGAACGCTGCAACTAACATTCGACGTACCCCTTATAAAATTAACAATGCGCTAAATTAACGAAAATATGGCAGAATTACCTAAAATAACACGATACCTTAAAAAGACGTATTCCACATTATACTTAATACCATATTACACATATATATATATATTCAACTATTGCATTTTTCCAGACTTCCCGACTACATCCTTAATGTAAGTAACTAGACATTGAATAGGAGATTACCTTGACCCCTAGGGCCACAAGTTAGAATTAGACGTGGAAGTCAGTCTGGCTGAAAGGATGGCTAAATGCATGGCAATTGAAAATGTAACAAGTTTAGTGCCTTGTCACTTCAGATCATGTTCAATGTCACAGCCATAAAGCACTATCTGCTTCTAATTACTGTGATTTACTTTATTTTAGCTCAAAGTTATGTTGTCTGAATTCAGGAAAAAAATATGTCCCATGGAAATTCCTTTCACTGCTCTGCCATTCTATCGAAAAAACAGTCAAGTGGAAATATAAAGTGGTATTAATGGTCGCTGGAAATCCAGACTTAATAATTCAACAAAATTCATGTCCCTAAATCTAAGCTGTTATTATTGTGAATAGGAAGTCACCTCTTCATTTCATTTCATGTTTCAGAATCTATATTCCTACTTTTACTGACTGAAGTCAATTCGTCATCAGTTGAATAACTTGTACGAGACGAATAATTATTGAACAGTTTATTTGCTTTCTGAATTCAAAATCACAATTAGGAAACAATAGTATACCATGATTCCAAGGTGCAATCCCGGGGAATGAAGAGCTGCGGTTTAAGCACAATTTCGTTATAAACGGTTATGGTCAGCCTCTATCATACAAACATGTCAAGCACGGTACCAGTATGCGCAAGTTTCTACGCAACCCCCATTTGATAAATGCAACCAAATTAAAAAAAAATAAATAAAAAAAAACCTTCCATACAGAACCAGAAACATTAGTAATACAATACAAATAATACCATACACTAATGTCATAATGTCAAACACAATGAGGAGAGGCATTTCCTGTAATCGCACATATTATATTATGATTACATTCTATACGTAATCCTAACGAGCCTACAATTACTCATCAATCATAAATATTTTTTTTTTTAAATTTAAGACAAAAACAAAACTGGAATCAGAAACCATACCAAGAGTAACCTTGAGTTTTAAGGCAGCAGGGTGACACAGTTATTTGTGCTTTTATGGCTCTTTAATTGAGAGTTAATTATTAATAAATATTTTATTTTCCAGATGCCTACTACTCACCCAGTGAGAATAAAACAAACTGGAATGATTGCCACATGATTAAAGTTTAGATAAATGCTGAACCACAAAAAAAAAAAAAGATGAAAAACCCTACTTCCTGTCACAGTCAGCATTAGCAAACATACACACAGGAAGGGTCACTCAACTAACCCAAGGAACGCATACCCGATAATTGCTTTCAACATTAAGTGGACAATTTTCAGCTGAGACTTCAATAGCGAGTCGCTGTTGTCGCCAGAATTTGGGGGTTACTTATACACGACTCTTCCGGCTTTAAAAAAATAAACTAATTAAGAATTCAGGTCAAGTGAACACAATAACAGTCAACAAAAAACAGCGTAAATAACATTCTGATGCTTACAGTACACTGAACAAACCAATGCGCTAACAGCCATGAGTCAGTCAGTCAGTCAACCCGCCCCATCCTGCCAGTTCAACAACCTCCTGTTTCGCACATTTTAACCAATACTGTAAAAGGGTTTATAATTATTCACTGGGTTTTAATTTTGCTTATTTCGCTGACTGGAAAATGCGCCAGATTAAAACCCAGTGAATATATAAAATTGAGCATAGAACACATTATCTAAATGATAAAACCGTGAATTTAAAACCCACTGAATATGCCTGAAATGTCAAATCAGTGAAATTTAAACCCAGTGAAAATTAGTCATTTTACAGTAGTCACACCAAGCTTACAATTAAAAATCTGGACAACACCTGGAGTAGGGGATAATAACATATGCATCATATACTTAGTATATATACAATAACACATGTACACAAATAAACATGCCTGCTACTTTACTCAAGGCCTGCTATTTGATTGTAAACTAAGCAACCCTCTTGTGTATTTCTCACATGCTTACATCATAAGAGATCAAGGGGGCCACATATTGACCTCTTCACAACAGGCTCTCCAATCTCTCCATTTAAAATGTAAACACGGCTATCACATTGTAAAAAATCTACTTTTCTTTGGTCTATCTTGTTACCTAACACACCATAGACAATAGAAAACAGAGTCTATTAACAAACAACTACTGAGGTAACAATATCTGAATATTTTCGACCACCAAGGCCAGAAAACTACTTTTTAATAAGATAATGGATCAGTAATTAACCCCTATCAGACATGGAGCATGGATAAAAGCTATTTCTACCTGATATACATGTCAAACAGGTCAAAAAACAAATTCTATATATATGTACAGAGTGCTTGAATATTTCAATAATTATATTCAAATCTGATCATTTTGTTTTTTGCATTAACAGCATAAGCGGTAAGGTACTTAATTTTAGCTGATACATTTGAAAATAAAATAAAATAAAATAAAATAAAATAGGTAATGGCAGTTCTCTTAAATCCAGGTCAATCACTGTTCTGTGTCATCAGCTGTTTCACAATATTTTCAATAAAATAATTTAAAATATGTGGCGTCATATACAATATTTTTACTAGAAATAGAATCTCGCCTGAAAGTACTTGTTTTGTGAGTGAAAACGACTATTTCCAGTCTGTTTTTGCTAGAATTGTTATTAAGCGAAACAATGACAATTTAATGTGATTTGCATGAATATTTTGGGTCTGGGCATGGGTTGTGGTCTGAGTCAATCAAGTTCGAAAGCTGACTGTCATGTTATGTTTAGTAATTGACAAAGACACTGTCTCTAGCTACTACTACTAAGAACTGCTTTATTCAACTCCAAACAAGTATAAGTAAACAAGGTTACATAATTTGCATGACTGAGAAGTAAGTCATTCATTGTACATTATGACACTGACATAAATGTACACTAATTTATTTATTTTTTAAACATTCATATATAAAAAGAAAAAAATATATAAGTTAAAATATATAAATTACTGTGCACATTCAGTTTTATATAAAAATAACATTATCCTGCTTTATCAAGACCGCAATCAATGATGAGGCAAAGACCACTGGACATGGGTCTGGCTATGAAGCCCCATGGGGTAACAGATTTAGTATTGTCTGCCGCTCGGCCAACTGGAAATGAGCATTCCCTGGTGACCTTCCAAACCAGACAGTGCCGATGACAAACAATTCTCCACAAGTTCCAAATTACGGCAGTTAAAAAACAAGTAACAACGTAAAATATGATTACAAACCGTCAAACTATTATAGTTAATCCCGGAGCCGGTTATCAAATACAACAGTGACAGTTTTCAAAACAGGCGGAACTGGACAGAGGAAATGCAAGACATTGCAAGACAAATGTACACAAACATGTGGGCTTCTTCCTGATTTTCAAGTTTCACAACTGTGGCCATCCGATGTGCATATTTGACAAATGACAAGACTTCCCGATGACATCCGATCGGCGCCCGGGTCGATCGCCGGCCGTCTTCATATTTAATTCTTTCATAAAAACGTGTGTAAACGCCCGGACTTTACACACACAGAAAAAAAAAACATCAACAACTTGGCACTTTAACGTAAAGCTTATTCAAAATGATTCGTGGATCGACGAACTCAAAAATAACATCTTGCAATGGGTCATATACATGATCGTGCCGATGTCGATGTAATGCAAAAGAACGTAAGATTTAGCTAAAATTAAAACAACTCCAGGGCAGGGGTTGGATCACTTGATTGATTGAATGATCGCCGTGAAATCCAGAGATCTACAAAACGGAGATGAGGTCTTTGACTAAGAAAGCATTATTTACGCAAAATACGGCAATCGATAGGAATACAAAGACATATTTACAAACTAGAGAAGTGTGTGCTATACTCACGGGTGTGAAATACATCAAATTGAGCAGCAAAAGGTAGAGAAATTGCCGAATTCTTCAACTAAAAACTTAGAATGTTTCACTCCTCCCTGGAAATTGACCATCCAATATGGCGGATATTTTGCGCATGCGCTGTACAATTCAATGACAGATTTGCATGTTCGTCATAGCGGCGTTATGATCTTATCCGTTACGCTCTGAATATTAGTGTATTTTAAAAGTTTGTTGTGTACAGATAAAATTGACACAATATTAAAACACGATAATAATCGCAAGTACAGTTTGCTGGCCACTAAGTCTATAAGCAGAATATTTTACACTGTATACGAAACTTGCTTTTTTCTATTTTTTTTTATTTTCGAGTCGATTATGTATTTTATTCTGTTTTTTTTTCAAATAAATAAACAAATACAATGTATTTTTTTTATTATTGTATTTTGTTCACTGTATGTGCTTGTGTATTATTTGGGTACCTAGATTTCACATAACAAACGTAGTATGCAGGACCCATAATTACAACACAACACCCCCCGGACACCAACATCATAGATGAAATTATTTGAAAATAAGATCACATATTAACAGTTTTTTCGTTTTTTTTTATTTCGTATGGAGACGAACAATCCATTTTTGAACTGGTACAAATATGTAGAATTCGTTTTCAAAATGTTCTCAGCGGAGATTGTGTTTTCAAAATCCCCTTATTTGTTACGCATGTTCTGAACACATCCGTCCCCGAGATATTTGAATCATATAGGTCAAACCCACGATCAAGCCCCAGACCAAAAAAAAAAACTTCCCCAGAGCCTATAGCGTGTTTCACTTACAGTTGAATTGTTAATTGTACTCTTGGATCATTATCATTCCAGACCCAGACATTCAGAATATGCGAAACGCTCAACGCCAAGTTTTTGGAATTCTGCACTAGAACCTACTAGACAAGCATGTGCAAGCACTACATTTCAAGATGTCTACATGTCTTCGAAATGAAACCGACGTTTCCACTGACCACGGTCGACTAAAACCGAACACTGACTGACTGCATACTAGAATTGTGGCCGGAATGATGGTGCCCAGCCACACTGAAGACCCCGGAGCCGCAAGTTCCTAGTATCCCGGATGTTCCCGGAGAGAAGTGCCACAAAATAAATCAATTAGTTATTACAAACGCATTCATTTCAATTCTACAATATACATTTTGTGGATTTATGAAGCTCGTAATGATTCGGTTCGACTGCGTCATCAACTTGACTTTTAGGTCTCGTTCGATGTTGGTTCCTGGCGCATCGAATGCATTTTTCGCATACAAGCAAAATTGAATATTTGAAGACGATTTCAAACAGAAAATACCATGTTACACTGAAACCCTTCTGGTTGCCTGTACGGAGCCTGCTTAATATAAAATGCACAACTAACAAACATACTAATAATTGGTTATCCGTTAATTACTGATCAAATTTGAATATTTACTAGTAAAACACCAATCAGACTTCGCCGAAGAAAATAGAGCAAATACGGCGAACGTTAGTAGATGTAGTTAGCGCATTATGAAGTAAGACAGGGACATAATTGAAAAACTATGAGCTCATGTGCATACAATTTTGAAATATCAAGATACATTCAACGTTTTGCATCGGCTTCGTTTACAATAACTGAGTCTGAACAAAATTTACATTTCTTAAATTATGATGAAAAAAGTTTTCATCATAGAATATTATCATACATAAGCCGGGTTATAAAGTCTCTTTTCTGTGAAGAAAAAAACACACTTGATTTGTATGGGATATGCCCCCCCCCCCTTCGCAATACCTTTTTACCCGATAATTCATCTTGGAACTTTTGCCAGACTATACTAGTATACGTGTGTGTGTGTCGCATAATGTATTATCAATAGCTATTCCACAAAATGTCCAAGTCAGATATTTTAACATTGTATTTTATCTCTATTGAGACAGTGGACGCATTTTACAAAAATGTCGGCAATTGTTTGTGGTTTTTTTTTGTTTTTGTTTTTTTTGGAAAGGAGTCATACGGAGTCATCATATTTTACTGATCGGACCGGCGATCGGGGTGTTGTAGTGTTCGATGACGTTGGTTCATGTGTAACACAACGACGCTTTGCAAGCGGAAAAAGTGGCGACCCCTGCAAACTGAAGTGATGAAAGCAGAGTCATGTAGGGGAATATTATACACGAACATTTAGCTCCACAGTTTATGAACGTGAATCCGGCTGATACTTACAAAAACTCAGAAATGAACATAAGCGTGACTTCTCTATTCCCGAAGTATGCATAATCATCAGAATAGATAGAATAGAATAATGCTTTATTAATACCGTAAAGAAAGAGTTAACATTTCCTTTTAGGTTTTCATCATGCCTACTTTAACCTAACTCGCATGCATGCTTCCGATTAGCGCTAAACTTTGATCATTGTACATACTGTACAATACTTTATTTTCGCTATTTTCACTGTAGGAATGATTCAGTGAAAATAGAATGCAGCGAATATACTTTTTTTTCCTATATTTTGCATTCAACTCATCAAAAATCAGTGAAAATAAATTCCATACAAAACACCCAAAAAGTCTTTTCAGTGAAAATAAATTCCAGCTAAAATAAAGTATTTTACATTATATTGTTGTTCATCTCATATACAGGTAAGCGGTAGTACATGTATGATTTCGCATGCTAAGAAGAACACAAAAAGAAGACTTCAACATCCGGGTATCTAATCCCAGGTATGCATTCTATGTGGCATAGTTTGTATACGGTTGACAGTACGTGATACAGTTTCTATGCCCCGTGACAATGCGTACAACTCGGCACAGCATTCCAGACTCACACTTTCTATACACAGGGCTCGAAATCACCACGTTATTATACATTTACATTTATCATTCATTGTCAGTGATGAAGTAATAAGAACGTACTGGTTAAAAAAGTGTGAATCCTGAATTGTTTTTCTTCATTCTTCATCACGTACGTGATGGTATTTGCGTGATGCATCCCATTTAAATAACTTCCTGTTGTGAATGACAAAATAATGATGACATCACTTGAACTGAAACGATGACGTAATGTGTTGCACACGTGATCATTCGTTTGCCCGAGTTCGTAATTGTCTAGTAATCGCGATGGAACACACCATGATAGCACCACATCATCGTATGCAGGGCTTCATTGAATAAATTAGTGGCAACATACTACATGTAATACGTATTAGATACACGATCCATAAGATATATTCACAAACGAAAAAAAAAAAAAAAAAAAATTCAACACTCATCATTATTTGATAATCCAGGGCTCTTACATCTTTGTACAGTTTATTTATTGAATGATTTATTTTATTAACCATTAATTTCAAATAACTTCCTCAATACGTATAAATCGTTTTCACGACTGTAACTTTAATATTTGAGACGTATTTCGGCTCCAGGAAATATTACTATTGTCACTCTAGTAATATCATACTAAATCAGGATTATGGTTAACATTTTACACATTTTCTAGATTTTACATCATATATTCTTATCTATGGTAATCGTATTTTTCTGTCAGGAGGTCTCGTTCGGGCTTACAAACCGCAAATAGGATATTAATAGGAATCGACTCACAAAAAGCAAATTTTTGCAATAATAAATGCTCGATAATATTAACTCGTTTGAAATCTTTAAAACTCTACAATCAGCAAGTTGAACAACATAGCACCGGGACAGAGCTACTCAAAGTCCATAATGACATTTTAATGCTGCTGAATGCAGGACAAAACGCCATCCTTGTTCTGTTGGACCAATCAACTGCTCTTGCCACTATCGACCATGATGCACTTCTTCAACGACTATGTTCATTTGGAATACCATAACTTTAAAACTTTGAATGTTTTTTTTTTTTATCATATATCACCGATACATACCAATCTTATTTTTTTAATACGACAGAATATATGCATAAACCCCTCGGCCAGGTTATTCGTCAACATGAATTCCACCAATACGTTGATGACAACCAACTTTACATATCATTCACTAGAACCACAATTAGAAAACTCTTCTAGTAACCTTGCTAGAACTAATACATACACTTTCAAAGTGAGAAATGTCTACATGGAATAGAATTGCAGTTTAATGACGGAAAACCATTCGTAACGACGCTCACGTTAATTCCATAGTTATTAAAGGGGCTATAGTCGTCGCGCCGCGTCCTGTTCGATATGGGACTCACATGTTGTATACAACGCGCGTACAGTAATAAACATTGTTTGTTTACATAACATTCGAACACGCGCTGCCCAACGATTCCCGCCCTTAAAACCTGCCACCGCTGCTCACAGTCTTGGAATTATATTCGACATTACACCAGCATATTGCTACCACGTGTCAAAGGATTTCCTTCCTTTACTATATAACGTATTGGTCACTTTCGACCATTTTAGCCGAGGAAACACTGGCACGTGCTCGTTTGATTCACTCAACTCTCGCTGCTAAATTTGATTCATTTAATTCTCTGTTATATGGTTTAACACACAACTCAATATTTTACAAAGAGCTCAGAATTGTGTTGCCCATGTCATCGCATGTATACTAAAAAATGTCACTCATATTCCTAAACAGTTACACTGGTTACCTGATAACTATAGATTAAATACAATTTAAAATCCTGTCGATCACATGCAAAACGCTTCGTCAATAACTTCTTCATATACTTATATCGGATCTCATCCCTAAAAAAGTAGCTCTCAGAGAACTATTCGTTCAACTAACCCAAAACCAGATATAAATCATACGGCGATCGCTCAAAGATTCGTTTCTATATTTTGGAATCAGCATCCGGATGATGACATATTTGCAAGCACCCACTGCGACCATTTTAAGAAACTATCTTTTTGAAAAAGCACTATGTAAACCATGTATACTTATCATATGATTAATTATGTTTTTTGATAACCAAACATTGTGTGTTTCCAGAAAAGATAGTAACGAATTAACCAATGATGGTATATCTTATATATTCGCTTTTAGGCTCGTTATTGGCGCTTTTCGCCCCAAAAGACTCATATTTTGCTAAAATGGCCGAAAATCCTATACATGTAATTGGGGATAAAAAATATCGACTCGACCGTGAAAATGGGGGGGGGGGGTGAAAACTGCGGCACCAACACGTATTCTTCAAATACGGGACACGAACACATGTTAGTCTAAAATAAATCAAAGTGCGTCCTTTGCGCCATATTTGATTAGCTGGTGGAAGTAAAACCTATTTCAACGAATACTGTGTGTATTCGAAAAACAGTTTCAATAATGACGATTTTTAGTAATTGACGATATTCCCAAACCACTTTTTCATTTCACCAGCGGTGTTCACGCAGCACGCGTCCAATTGTGAAAGGTTGTACATGTAGCAAGAATACCACCAGATCATACATCATACTCGATGTAAGTAAATTATGATCATTTTTCGTAACCGAACTCGTACACAGTTGACTTGTTTTGAGATTATGATATTTTTACGGCCGTATGTTCTATTTTCATGTGTATTTCCGTCATTCAAAATTTATTGAACAACTATTTTTTAATCGAACGAAACTACTTTCCTTTATAATCAGAGTATCGTTACTGAAATCACTCAATTTTATTTCAATGTCTAAAAATAGTTTGCAAGCTGATGTTTATTACACCTGAAGCCGGGAACACATGGGGAAGTAATAATTCCTGTCAACATGTCTAAGCCCCAGCAATGAATCATACAATCATATTTGATGTGTCATAACCATAACGAAATTCGCTGAGTAAACATGAGAAAAGCAATTACACGAGGAGAAAGCACAACATTTAACATATGCTGGTGGAACCCGTTTGTTAACCGTTATGCTGGGTGGTGGGTCTCAGTGCGTCTTCTTTTCTGTGGCTATTTATCATACTTGTTGATTTTTTTATTCAAATTATGTTTTTAATTCTACATACCGTAACCGCACGAATAATAATAATAATATCTATATCTTTATTGCAATCAAATCCACTTTGGGATATTTATGTGAGAATAAATGGAAACAATAAAAAAGCGAAAACAAACATTGAAATGAGTGTCACACGCAACGTAATATTACCGTAATTTGTATAGTACAGGTGTGATGGTTCAAATACCAAAATGGCAACAGTAACAAAAAGACTTTCCTGGCGGCGATGATAAAATACGAACACGGAGCCAACAGATGAGGTTTCAACTGGTACTGGTATTATTATACTCTGCAAACATCAAGTACAATAACGCGGTGAAACTCCACTACTCCAATAACTAGATACTTAAACTCCAATACAATTCAACGAGATCTCCGATCTGATCTCAGTGCTGAACAACTCCCCTATATATACCCATACTGTCTATAAATAGACCATTACATCAGCATACATAATGAGTCTGGAATTTACTACAAATTTCTAGAATGTTCCATTACCTTCTACAGTGTCCTATTACCTATTCAACCAGCTTCTAAAAATTCCACCCAGACACAGTACGGTTCTAGAACATTCTCAGTCACACGGAAGTGGTAAACAAGTCGTATGCGACAATGAGATTTATAACAATATATATACATAATGTATTGATGTATGTGATACTATTTTGAACTGAGGCAGATGTTAGAGTGCTTTTAGCTCGATTAATATTTCCTTGTCCTTATTTCCTAGAATGAATGTTAGTTTTTCTTCAACCGTTTTGTTGTTTAGAGGATTTTTAAGCACATTTATGAATGTTTCTTTCATGTTTATAAGTATGCCACCAACGGCAGTTACAAAACCAATGTGGATAGTATTGGTTTCACACTATTATTTGGGATTCATGGGCAGGTACATTTTCTTGCGTTTTGACAAAGTTTTATTTTTGGTTTTTGTATGTTTTTTATTAAACAAAATTTATACATGGTAAATTCATATGGAAAATACAGTCCTTCAAACATTGCCGAAAATAGGGGGATTCTGTTACCCATAGTTACCAAATCAGATATTAGTATTTTCGTACTGGCATGATGAAAATCAAGAGGTCATTGTCAGGGTGTTTGCTACCTCAGACTTAAAATATACTTCATAAATAAGGCACCTTCCTAGAGTTTACAAAATTGATTACGATTTTCATTATTAATCATGCTTTCAAGCACAGCTTCGGAAACATCGTCTACTTTCTGTGCAGACTTCTTCTCTCCTTATCATACACGTACAGAGTATTATTTTTTTCTTTTAGGAATGTCATGCAAATTCATACACCCCATATCATATCATTTCAATTTATCGAGGCATCCCCCAGACAATTTATCCATACTTAGAAACTGAAATGCCATGCTTTAAGTTCAAGAAATATTGTTTTATTGTTGTTTTTATAATTACAAGAAAACACATATACAAATTGTATTATCATGCAAATTACCTTCTATGGTTGACCAGAACACCATCACTCCAGAAGCACTTATGTTTTTTTCAAGATAGCTCTCCAGTATGGCTACATTTCCATGATCTTTTTTGCAAAGGCATCGACAGTTCAGAAGTTTGTGTATTTACCGGTATATGTCATGGCGCCCTCTAGTGTCAAAATAGATAGATGCGAGCAGAGCTCTTTGGATGAAAAAGAACACAGAGTAATGAAAATTCACGGATTTTTTTATTTTTTTTTATTTATTGGATATATATATATAAAAAGCCTCTGTATAAATGTACTTCTATTGACAAAAACAAACAACCAATCTGTGCTAAAATTACTGATTGGTTTATTGATGACAGATGATTACTCAAATCATAGTGTCCATTGAGTCCACGAAAGTTACAAGTTTCTGTGAAATTGAACAACATATAGTTGGCGACTATACAGCCACTGCAGAAGATTTTTGTTTATTGTGCTTTGCATACCACTCATCACTCTTGTCAGCTTCCAGCGCCTGCAACAAATCCAAGATTAAACAAAGTGAAATTATTTCCTATGGACTCCCCTCTATGCTTTTCGCAAGAGGACTTAAGTCTTTGTATCTTTCTCACGCCTCTGTATAAATGTTGATTGAGGCTGTTCCCATACAAAACCAAACTCTGTAACACCGAAGACTGTTGGATCCAATGTTGGACTTTTTGGAAAGAAATAAAAAAGATAAATACAAATATGATCACGAGCCCTTCTGGTAGTGGTGAATTGTTGTCAATAAACACCACTTACTGAAAGTGTTGTTGCTTGTAGCACCTCATGTACTTATACTCTATAGTGTATACTATTAAAGTACTGTAAAATACTTTATTTTAGCTGGAATTAATTTTCGCTGAAAAGACATTTTTTGTGCTTTGTATGGAATTTATTTTCACTGACATTTAACAAGTTGAATTTAAAATATAGGAAACAAGTCATTGTCAATGACACGTCCCCGTTCCGTTCATATTTGAGTGACATATACATTCAAAGCAGATCATGACTGAAATGCACCTGTATATGTACAACACATTGTACTAAATCTGAACAAAATCCATCCATGCATGACTGAGATCCGGTTCCGGAATTGTGAAAATACGTGATTTTGATGCATTTTCGGCCTTAAAATGGCCATCATTCAGCTATTGTTAAGCGGATCATGAAACAAATGCACATATCTATTTGTGACATGATGTACAATGTACCATGTGTGTGTGAAGTTTGAACTTGATCAATCCAGACATGTCTCGGATACGAATCCAGAACTGAATTCTTTAATCGGTCCATGCATGTTCGAGATACAGGTGATCACGGACGGACGCACGGACGCACACAGGGCAAAACATAAGTCCCCGTTTTCGGACTACGTTCGAACGGGGACTAAAAAGGTATATTCGCTGGGTTTTATTTTCACTGAATCATTCCTTCAGCAAAAACAGCGAAAATGTATTCCAAACGAAAATAAAGTATTTTTCAGTACTGTATTTGCTCTATTATAAGCGCACACTGACCAAAATCTGAATTTATTGTATATGAAATAATTTAATATAATTTATTTTCACCATAGGTCACCTGTGTCATTTATATACCGGTATGCTCCTAATAGAGTAAATACGGTACATGAAAATGTTCTGCGACTCAAGTGTTTCTCTCACTACATAATAATCAACAATAAGGTTACCTCAGTTAGTAGTTGATCACCTTTTGGATCAACCTGGGATAATTCACGGAAGGCCTCATCTCCCACAAAACATATTTCATGTGAATCCTAAAAAAATGATAATAATAACCAGTAAAACGAATTGAAACAAATTGTCTATAGTTTTTGAAACAAATGCATAATAATTAATGTGTAATATGAAGTGCAATATCGCTGTAAAACGTGATTGCAATTGTCAAATGAATGACAGAGACATGGCAAAAGAACAGCATGCAGTGTGGAATGGAATGCAAAAATGCTTGATTTCTTAAAAATTTAAACATCCGCCATTTGGCCTTCTTGAATCTGATGGTCAAACTAATACATCAGTATGTCTATGACATAATCTATAATGAATATATAAAACTTTAACATAATCAGTCAAAGCATGTCAGAAATATGGCACTAGAACCGCATTCATTAAAACAAAATGGTCACCAGTCAGCCATTTTAAATCTGATCTGAAAAAAACAAAATGCAGTGCATCAAGGTCCCATAATGTCCAATGTATGTAACAAGTTTAAACAAAATCCATCAGTAAACATCAGAGGTCCAGTTCCGGAATGCTCGAAATGCTTGATTTCGATGATTTTGATGATGAAGTTGCAGCCATTCAGCCATCTTGAATCAGACCGTGAAACAAATTGATGTGCATACGTATAATATTATGTATGATGTATATGTAAATTTTGAATGTAATTGGTCATCGCATGTCTAAGATATAGGTCAAGATATTCACATGCACGCACACACAGTTTATGTCATTTGAGAACAGATTTAATCATATGTCAGTTATTGAATCAAAACTTTTCTGTTTTGTTGAACTTCTAATGATATTAAAGGGCGACAGTCGTCGTGCCGCGTCCTGTTCGATATGGGACTCATAGCGACATATACAACGCATGCAAAATACATTGTTTATTTACATGAAATTCGAACACATGCTGCGCGACGACCACCGCGCTTTAACATATCGCTTGCTAATATATTTATATACAAGTTCATGGCGGCTATCCATAGAGAATTTCAGCCGGCAATTTCAGTGGCTATGAAGTTCATCTTCAAATTCAATGTAGACAAACAAACAATATATTTATTATGTCTACATCACATGGGACGCATATGGAACACAGCCTGGTTTGATTTTGTGGCTTTTTAGAGAAGTTTACGTACAGAGAGTAAATTTTAACTCCCAGTTGCTAGAAGGATGAGGACTTACTGGATCTGCTAGAATGACCACTTCAACTGTAGCTTTTCCCGGTGTATCTAAACTGACCAATGGTGTCACAATCGTCTGGTCATTTTCAGTCATCAAAGTCTCTATACACGCAAGCTGGAATGAATATCAATAATCAATTATAGAATAAATATTTCAACAAAACTGAAAATATAAATCATGTAATAGCAGAAACAAGGGATATCAAATGGATGTACATTACGGTACCGGTATACTCTAGAAACTATACCAGGAGCAGAACAATAATCATTAGGTTAGCATGTTTCCTTGCATCAAGGAGTTTTTGAGTTCAATTCCCAGAGCCGACTGTACAATGTATAACTGCATTTAAACATGCGTAATATACTAGTACCTCTAGAAGACTGATTCACACATGCATTTGCAATTAGCACTAAAACATAAAAAAAGTCAGACAGATAGCAGTGACTTCAATATCCAAAAATATCACCTGCCATATTTAAAAAAATATTGTTGTGATATTCTATATTTTGCTGTAATATAAATGTATTTTGATAATGCCCAGTTAGCTAGCGAGGCTTGCCCAGCTGCGGATTAGAATAGACAGCATGTATTGTCATTGCTAATTAATATTCTTTTGTTCGTGTTTGTGCAAGACGAACGTGAACACGAGTTAGTCAGTTGTCACCCAGCTCCTGGTCAGTGCAGTGCAGTTCAGCTCCAGTGCAGTGCAGTGTCAATGTGACAGCCAGCACATGTCTCAAGATAATGCCTGTCCAATTCGTCATGTGGGACTGATAGATGCGAGACAGCCTGCTGTAGTTTTACGCTGTAAAAACAGCATTATTCAAAGACCTGTGTTTCGCCAGAAAGCGTGCTGATCTTGGACCAGTACTCTCACTCAAGTTGTGCACCTAGGTAGGGTAGGCAATTCGGAGCTGGGCTATTATCATTATTATTATTATTATTATTGTGATGTATATTGCTGACCAGTTTGTGATTTATATTACTCCTGTTAATGGTTTAAGGTTATTGTATTATTAAATTAGTATTATTTGACATATTCTGGTTGTGTGCCTTTGTTTGACCTTTAGCGTTGCGTCCTAGAGTGCGAGATATTGGCGGCCAGGTTGGTGGGATTCCCGTTCGTAACAATATCCACAAACCAAATACCAATTTCTACCACAACTGTAACCACTTCACAAATATATTTTTCTAAAATATTAAAATCTAATGAATCAACAGAGAAATGTGAAATCAATTAATTAGTAATAACTTGTGATTATCACATTCAGTCCAAATTTTAAACACAAATACACAAAATACCTCAGTTCTGGGACAGGAAAATGCAATTCTCCCAAATGCTGATGCATGGTCAACTTTCTCTCCACCAAGACCATGAAGTTCCAGTTTGCATTGCTCATCACCAAATCCCAACGTTGCTTGTTTGTCATTCTTTTCAAACAAACTCATACCACACAACCGGGACCAGTAATCTAAACAGAAACAACAAGACACTTTCTTTGATTTAGTCTTAGTGAATAAAACTAAGAATGCAAATTCAATTGTGGTCATCAGTATTGTGAGATACTGTGAAATATTTTAGCTGGAATTAATTTTCGCTGAAAAAGATTTGTGGGTGTTTTGTATGGAATTTATTTTCACTGATTTTTGACAAGTTGAATGTGAGACATAGGAAAAAAAGTATATTCGCTGAATTTTATTTTCACTGAAGCATCTCTTCAGCAAAAATAAATTCCAAGCGAAAATAAAGTATTCTACAGTATATAACAATTTGTACATTGACAACATGATACTACTATCTGTAGCCAAATAACTGAATAAAATTAATAAATAACTTTTTCCATATTTTTCACAATATTTTGTTGGTAATAGAAAATGATATTTCGAAATTAACAAATAATTATATACATAAAAATGTGCAAAATATTGTACAATAGCAACATTATCAGACCTATGAGAAGTAAAATATATGATGAGTGGTGTTGTTTTTCTTGCCAGGCATTGAGATATAGAAGGGTATGTACTGTTGTGTCTCTTCACTTTTTTCTTATAAGTTAATTGCAAGTACAACTGCTGACATATAATGAATTTTGCAGGAAACCCCACATTCTATTGTATGTACAAGGTCGTGTGACCATATTCCTATCATAATGGCAATTTAATACGCTATCTTAGCATCAACCAGGGCCAGTCTAACACTAGCACCTGCTATCATTAACAAAGGTTTTCTCAAAGTTACATTCATTAGTGAATGAATCTCAACCACTGGATTTAGCCTTCTGCGGAACACTCAGGGTAGAGGTCACTCCCATTTTAGGTGTTCGGCCTCAGGTAGGATTTGAACTCAGGTGTACCAATCATTAGTTTTATGTAGCATCTATTATGTGGGAGCACCACAGTCATTGTGTTGTGTTACGATTAATATTGGTTCCATGCAAGGTATACAATGGTACATTTATGAAAAAAAAAAATATCAATTTACACGAACTATAAACCACTGTTACAAGTATTTGTTTTATGACTATAATGAAAAAAACCCTACCAACAGATGTACTTAAAGATGAACAACTCAGTGCAACTTTCTTTACAGGATCTGAAAGTATAAGTTTAAAATAAATGTAGATAAGGTTATGCAACTTTCATATAATCTCAAAAAAATATGACATGCACCTATAACTCGATATGCATAATGCCATATAAAATTTGAATGAAATCACCCTGTTCATCTCCAAGAAACAGTTCCAGACACGTTCAAGTAACAGAATTCAGCAACTTTGAATGGCTGTTAGACAGCAATATGAAACGGTAATGAACGTCAATGTAAATAAAAGTCATCATACATTGTCTTTGTGTTATGTATGAATGAGATTGTTCAAAGCATATATGAGAAATGGCTCTTGACGCATACACACATACATGGATGGATGAATACATCCCAAATTAATAGTCTAAAAATATCTTACCCTTATTTTAAATTTTCTTTTTTCACAAAATGCAAAACCATAAAAATACTTTTTGCCACAGTATGAAGGTGTATACTACTGTGGCTTAGATGGTGGAAATGTTATTAGCTTATTGTCTGAATTAGGCTGCTTTGCTAAAGCTGACAATCTCTGACACAAACATATTCAGATGACAAACCAAGATGTTCATACCTGTAACGGGCTGTTCCTGATCTAAAAGGTAAAACTTGTAACCACCAGGGGCTTCCACAACAAATTTTCCACTTCCTGCATCCTCTATTGGCCAGTTTAATCTCTTAGCATTCTGTATTGCTTGACTTGATTGCACAGTGATGCCCTGGAGTAGAAGGTATTATGCTCAGTGTTTGAAATTACCGGTTGCCCAAGTCCACCGAGTTTACTGCAGGGACACAAAGTTTTGTAACGTTGTCCCCCAGCAGTCCACCAACTTTTCTGAGTAGTAGGATATAACTAATGAGCGCTAGTAATTAATTAATTATTCAGTAAAACTGAAGCGAACTCTGTATTTAAATTGAGGATGAAATAGTGAAAGATGTCGATGATTAACGCAATCAAAACTATCATTGTAAAAGTATTACCGTAGTAATAAAAAAGTCAGCATTTAAGTGTATTTGTTTTACAGTCAAGTAAACAGTGTGTGTAATATTGACACTGTTACTTAAGTTTAAGTACATATATTGTACTTTTACTATTTTTGAAAGTACTGGTAAGTTGGTCCACCAACTTTTCGCCAGGGCCACTAACTTTCAAAAGTTGGTAGCCCCTGTTTCCAGCAAATTATTTCTGAGAATTTCAAACACGGTTAAGCTATGCTTAATGATGTAACTACTTATGACAAGAAATTTGTTTTTTAGGTTTCTAACTATTAAACATGTCAACCAAACAGAATTCCTCATCGCTTTTGTAAAATGTTTTGTTAAAATAAAAAAAAATGAAAGAAAAATTTGTCAAGAGACATTTGTTTATATATTTACATTAATACATTCTATCTTTAAGATATTCAATACCTCACTGGTAAATGTGGGTGGTCACTTTGATTAGGCGAACAACAAAAAATGTGTTTCTAGTCAGTGTGGGGTGAACTTTTTTTCCCCTATTTCACTACAGCACTGTGCCCTTTGTTGATGATGTGATGAAACCTACACAATTTGTGTGCTGTAAAAAAGTTTAGCAAAACCAGTTTTCGAGAGGACTAATTGATTGACTCTTTAAAACTGAAACAAAATTTGTTGATGTGTGTTTAGAAACTAATTCACAAACTTGCCATGTAAATGTTCATTGTTTTCTATGTCTTGTCTAGGAGTTACTCCTTATCTAGAAGTTTACAATTGTGCATGTGCCTACAATACCAGCATGTTGGTTTATTCTCTGATTTTGAATAAAAACAACTTGATGAATGCACTTTTACAATAATTATTGGATTATGTTTTCTAGGCCAGAGACAGAGTCAGATTCAACCGACAGGAGTCATCGAGAAGGAGTCACAAGGCACAGTGAAGCTCACTCACCATAAAATCATTTCCTAGTTTATACTGTCCAACTCCATAGTTATACGTCAGTTCAACAACAAAATGTTTATCTTCTGCACCGTATCCCACCATGGTTTTACTCCATTTCCCATCATACGGTCTATGAACAGATACAAATACTATATGATAAACTGCTAAATTTTAAAACTAGAGCTAGATTTCCTGAATGAAATATAAGCTGTTTACATTATGTACGGATTATTTCACATAGTGACAAATTCTGCTCAGATACAAGTGAATTTTCTCCCGTTTGTACTCAAACACTCACCCATTGCAAGTGGCTTTGCATCCTTCTTCAAACTCTTCATGCCTTAATACCTGAAAACACAAATAATCATTTTTCCAAACTGGTCACTTTCATTGATGTGGTAATTATTAGGTAGTTGAAAAAACTCACACTAGCATATTCAGATTAGCACCATATGTGCTGAACTTAATCAGCCAATCAATGTCGAGGTCGCCTGTAGTGATTTAATTGCACAGTGATGCCCTGGAGCAGAGTATGAAGCTGTGGTTAATGATGTAACAGAAGGCAACTGTGAGATTCATACTCAGATTTTGTTTTTCTTGTGTTTGGCCATCATGCAGTTTAAACTGAATTTATGCTGAATTTCTCAGCCAACCAATGTCACAGTAACCTTAGTAGCAACTGTGGAGGCCTAAAGTCAGGTATCCATTACGGCTATAAAAATAGGTTTGTTTAGTGGTTGAAACAAACAAGAAGCAGTATACAGGGAATGCTATATAATAATAAGAACATCAATGAAAACATCAAATATCACATATTCTGGGCACAGTAAGAGTGTGTTACAAAATACAGTTCTGCATACAATTATGAAGAATCAGTGAAAAGGGGAATGAACTTCATTTATTCGCCAATTTTTAAAAATATTTTTCAGTCCATATAAATGACCCTTGTATAGTTCCAAATAAGTGGTAGTATGTTATATGTTAATACTTGCATGGGTTCCTGACAGCTAGAAAAGATACATCAAAGATAGTTTACCAATAATTTGCATATAATTACCATAATTATACGCCATGTCACTGAACAGGGGATGCCCGGGCATAGGCCCACCCCTATTTTTTGTCAATTTTCCATGTTCAGGACCCTGGGCTCTTACCCGGATAAATACGGTATGTGTTTCCTCATTTGTTAAAACAAAGATAAATGTATCAGACAGTGCCTGACTAAAAGGTGTGGACGTACGTTATACAGAGTTTATGAATCTAAAATGGCTGTTGTAATTCCAACCGACCAACCCAGCAATAGTGTGGTTACATTATATTATGGTTATTTTTTTAAAAATATATGAATGAGTTAGTTCAATGCCAATTAAAATGCAGTGTTCGTTGCACCAAACATGTGCGACATTTGTGTTGATAAACATTGATTCTCCCACAATCCAGTGCGCTCTTCTAATAATGAAAAACATAAGTATATAAGGTTTGACCTGGGTGCGACGTGCAACCGTCGATGACTACTTCGATCACCTGACATAATAAGTAATTAAAGCATGGTAATGTCTCAGTTTGTACTGTTTGGTCTGCGCAAGAGTCAAAGTCGGAATCTTATACATACGAGACCCATATATCTCGCGCATGCGTGGTGCAACAACTACCGCCCTTCAATCAGCAAATGAACTTGCATTCATATATAAATCATGCACACAGATTAGGTGTAAAAAAATATGCTGAGCTTTTGAGCCAATCACGATTTCATATATAAACATGAATGAAAGCTGAAGACCGGTATTTACAGATACTTGTAAATGCGTTCATTATGAACAACAGGTTTCTGGCGCACACTGTATTAGTATTTACATGGATACCATTTAAAAAAAAAAAGGATTAACAAGTACTTTATACCTTCATCCCCAGAACTTCTCGGTAAAATCTCGCTGTTTTTCGCCGGTCACCGACTTTAAAGACAAAATGCAAGGCTCGTCTCGTCGACATTCTAAAAACAATGGTTTCTGTAAACACACAGACATTACCCCATCGTGACCCTCAGGTGTTAGGTCACAGGTCACATTTGTGAGTATATAGCGCCATCACAAGTCAAAATTTGTATTTACAAAATGGCGACCTCCATGGACTTATTTCGAAAGCTTGGATCCGGAGCTAAATTTGATCTTAGACGTTTCCAGAAAGACGCAGAGAGGTTTCAGGTAAGAAGTTAAACATTCCGAACTATAGGTCACTAACATTTAACTTGGGATTGTAAGAGTCACAATATTGTAACAGTTTTTAGCGACCACTTCACATACCGGGACCACATGCACATGTACGGTACGGTAGCCCTGCGTACATAGACTGTGTCGTGCGTGGGCTTAGTATCATAATACGATGCAAATCGCCCGATCAACACAGCGCTATACGCAGGGCTAATTTCAAGGTACATGTAGAAATTTTGCTCATAATTTTTAAGAAAGTTGGTCATAAATCGGTTTATTGTGAAAAATCATGGAGCTGTTTTCCCGTTTGTGTGTTATAGTGAAGTATTTGGAGAAATTTGTTCTAATATTTGTTCAAAAGTGGCTATTTTTAGAACAATTCCATAGAACGCATTATTACATTTTTGACATTTTTTTAAAACTCAGATTTTAAACATAATTCAGGACAACAAAAAAGTATCCCATCGTTCTCGATATATGATTTTTTCAGCTGATATCCCCAGCCTACAATTTGATATATAGCTTATGATATCTATGTCATAGGAACCTATGGTAAAAATGTTATAATATTGATATAATGGTGACGGTTGACAAGCACAACCTTGTTGATGACCACCTTTACATACCACCAAAAAGGTGCTGATCCTTGGAATTACTATATTAAGATGACCACACAAAAATGGGGTGGTCGTGGTGAATATCACTTGAATATAGCAATATTGTAATAAAATTTAAAATAACATGAAGCTAAAATTAGGATTGTTAGAATTTTGTCTTTGATAGTAGTGTATCCTACAGAATTTGTAGGGATTCAATATATGTTTCTCTGTTGCGTTAGTAACACGCCAGTAAATCATCACAACTAGTTGCGTCATAGCAAATTTTTGTGAGTCACTGGCACTTCATATCAACTTAGAGGTCACAATGAAAATGAGGATGACACTCTGGTGTCACAAGAGATAACGATATATGGATTCCCAACTGTAAGAGTGGATTTCCCAAGCAAAGAACTTAATCAAGTTATGTGCAAAAGATCAAACATAAACACACTGTATGCAGTCATCTTTTATTGTTAGTGTCCTTTGAATGCCAAGCAATTGCTGTTGTGATGTACTGTAAAATCTGTATTAAAAGCCGCGGCTTCTATTAAAATGGTTCAATGCAAAAAGGGGATGCAGTTTCTATTAGAGCATCTACACATATGAGAAATGATGTGTTTTTGGTTCTCAATTGTTCAAAAAGAATGGGTGCGGCTTGCCGCTTCTATTAGGGATGCAGCTTCTAATACAGATTTTACAGTACTTATAATAGAATTAACAATGGAATTTGTTATGAAAAATAACTAGCCGATCAGATTATCATCTTAAAGATTTCACAATTCTCCTCAGGTTAAATTAGTGGACCAGTGTCAAATCACAAATTAATTTAATGCACAGTAAACGAAGTAGTATCTAGAAAGTTAAGAAACATGTTTCACTTGGCTTTCACAATGTGTTTATAGCTGTGTACAAATACTACAATGTACATAATGTGAGAGATATTGTTTTTTTTTTACAGCTTGTCAAACCTGCAGAAGATAAGAAATTCAAAACTGATTTGCTGAAGGCTCTAGATTTTTTTGGCACATCAGCCATAAAGCATGGTGATGTGAATAGTGAATTAGCTGCAGAGAACAGCCCTGAAAGGCCAAAGAGGAAAATAATTGAAGAAGCACATGTTGAGAGAAAAAAGAAAAAGAAGAAAACAATAACAGAAAGCCATTCTGGTGCTGAGAATACAGAGAATTTCAGTGCAGCTAATCTTGATGATGTTCAGTTGTTGTCGTCATGGAAACCGGAGAACAAGGAAGAAAAGAAAATGAATCCTAAAAAAATTGAACAAATCAGACGAGAAAAGGTTGGTCAAAGGTCACTGAAGTGGCATGAACAAAACCCATGTGTTTTGGTATGCTATTGCAGTCCATGTGTTGTTATTAAATATTCTTTTCTTGCATTCTGAGTGGAATTTATTTGATTACCCCGGTATTTGATTAGATTTCCAGATGCTTTTTTCATTAACCAAATATACTTATTAATTCTAGGTAAATGCATTCCGGAAAAAACACAAAATCCATATTTCTGGAACCGACATCCCGGATCCCATCGACTCATTCCAGCAACTGAAACAAGAATATAAAATTAATTCTACAATCTTGAAAAATGTTGAAGACGTTGGATACCAGTCTCCCACACCTATACAAATGCAGACACTCCCATTGATGCTTCATGTAAGTATTCCATAGATGAGATCAACTCTTTTGCTAAGAACACGGTTACCGTACTAAAAAAGTAGTAAAAGTAGTTTTAGTAACCATGCTAAGAAACACATTCAAGTCTAGTGCCTTCAATCACTTCCTGTTTGCTGTAGAACTCAAAGTTAAAAAGAAGCTGAATTGTTGAACTTCAGAAGCAAGAGACTGGAGAAACATAGTCATAGTCTTGCATCTGTCAATCATTTAAAGGTGTGGAAATAAATAATTTTTATAGGTATTTCATTCTTATCACCAGGAATTGTAGTATTATTTACAGTCAGGTTCTTAAAGTATAATGTAATTATTTGTGTGCAATTTTAAAACTTATTAAAGTTATTCGAAACTATTTGTGTTCATGCTTAACTCTACATACTTAATATGATGTAATTTTGTGACTCTCAAACCAATGATTACACGCTGAGTGATTTTATTCAGATAATTAACTATACTGAAAGTAATTTATTTTATTTATTTTGAATAACTAGCCAGCGCATTCCATGTGTATGATTGACTGTCAGAATACTTGTACAGATAACAATGCCGTTAATTGCCATTTCACAGTACAAAGTTTTACCACTCTGTGTCCTGCTGCATCATTTCTAACAAATATCATTGAGGGCAGGAAACAATAACTGGATTATATACGGTGAACACAGACTGGAAATCACGTCTACAGAATCTATTGGTGAAAGAGGCAATTCATCTTTAACTTATACATATCAATTCACCCGATAGCCAAAATAAATGGAAAGAAAACCCCGCAGCAGAAAATGTGTTAATTAACTGATTAAATGGAAAACGAATGACAGATTGATAACACTAGTAATAATAATACGTGGTGTCCCATAATTCCATGGTGCAATCTTAGGGATTCACACACAAGTCACATCTGCTATAGCAACAATGCCGAGACTCTACTTTTTCTTGTAGAGACGGGAAGTTTTGGCGTGTGCACCAACAGGGTCTGGAAAGACAGCTGCATTTATTATTCCAGTATTACACCATCTGAAGGTAGGTATATATTAGTGAGCAGTCTGATTTCGGGAAAAATGTTTGACAATATGTTGTTTGTGAAAGCAGTAAATGAAAAGTGGAAACTGCATTGTATGTGCATGTCCTAATTAGATAAATGTTGTGTCTTTATATATTGGTGCAAATCTGATTGGCCACAAAGGTGAGATTTTATAACTAGTTGTGAAACATACTAGTACTGGTATGTGTGCTTGCAGTTTAAATAACTAGTTGTAGTCCCTGTCTATGGAGACCAAGGAACTACTACTATTATCTAGCTTTTAAAACCAATGCTTGCCTGGACAAATTGTTTGATGTTAATGAAATATCACAACATAATTATGTTTATCATAGAATTAATAGTGCACCTTTGATCCCACAGTTAATATACGGTCCCACATTTTATTAGTAAAAAAAATATGGATAATATTTATTCTAAAAAATAAGTCTTTGATTCTTTGGGTTCATATTGGTTTGGATTATTGCGCTCGACTTAATTGGATCTTAATCTTTACAACAGCTACAAATGAAATTAATTCTAATCACTAGTTGCAAGCCCTCATAATTTATTTATATGTATCTGTTTTCTGATGTTATTGAGAAAGTTGGTGATGTTATTGTGCAATTTGGTGATGTCATTGTGCAATTTGGTGATGTCATTGTGCAATTTGGTGATGTCATTGTGCAAGTTGATGTTTTAAGTTTAAAAGTCTTACATTTAACACTAAATATTACATATTTTTCAGGAGCCAAGAAAGCAAGGATTCCGTGCAGTGGTTGTGTCACCAACTAGAGAATTAGCCCAGCAAACATACCGAGAGTTTTGTCGTCTTGCAGAGGGCAGAAGTTTCAGGATTCATATCATCGACAAGACTTCTCAGGCGGCCAAGAAATTTGGACCCCAATCTTCACAAAAATTTGGTGAGTGTGAGGTTTGTCTTTGATACATATTAAATAACGAGACATGTTACAGAAACTATAGGAATTAACAAATGTAAACAAAGTTATTTTGAGCTCTTCTTCAAAGGAAAAACAATTTAGTTTTGCAAAATAAAATTTTTTTCAATCATTTTGGACATGGCAAAGCAGTCTATAAAAATGTGGAAAATGTTGTGCCAAAATTTTGATGAGAAAATTGTATCATTCAAAATCTTAACCCAAAGTTTTGTTGCCTTAATTTTTAGTTCCTGTTCGGACATAGTCTGAAAACGAGAACTTATTAAATGTGCATGTGTAGGTGCATCCTGACTGATTACATTCAAACTTCACACATACATCATACATAATATTATACATATGCACATCAGTTTGTTTCTGATCAAGATTCAAGAAGGTTGAATGGTAGCCATTTTTGTACTGAAAAATCATTATAATCAAGCATTTACTTGGTACATACATTGGACATTCAAAATGACCGACTGGTGGCCATTTTATTTTAATGAATGTGGTTCTAGTGCCATATCTCTGACATGCTTTTATTGATTATGTTCAAATATTTAATATTCATTATTTGTCATCTCATAGATATACAGACATATTGGTTTGGCGATCCAATTAAAAATGGCTGAATGGTGGCCATTTTTGTGCTAAAAAATCATCAACACTCAAGTATTTCTGTCATTTCGGAACCAGATCTTGGTTGTTTATTAATAGATTTTGTTCAAACTTGGTACACACTTGTACACACATTAGACATTATTGGTCCCAGATGCTTGTCATTTTGTTTTTCAGATTGGACTCAAAATGGCTGACTGGTGGCCATTTTGTTTTAATGAATGTGTTTATAGAGCCATATCTCTGACATGCTTGACTGATGTTCAAATTTTATATATTATACATCATAGAATAAGATATAGATATACAGATGTATTCAAAATCGATCTGATTCAAAATGGTCGACCGGAGGTCATTTTGTTCTAATTAATGTTGTTCCAGAGCAATTTCTCTCAATATGGACAAGTACTTGTACTATATTACTATAAACAAAATTATATAACTTAGATTTGATAACTAACAGGGACTAACAGGCATGGCTTGTTTAATAAGGCATACGTTTGATTTCCTATAAAAAAAATTCATCTTATATGTAAACATTCTATTTTTTTCATTCTTTGCTAGATATCTTAGTGACCACACCAAACAGACTGGTCTATATGTTGAATCAACACCCTCCAGCTTTGAACCTTACAAAGTAAGTAACCTATGTTTCCCAAACATACATCCAATGTTTACATTATGTGTTATGTCAAGAATTACATGAAGGATATATGACACATGCGATGAACATCCATTTTGCAAGACAAACACACATTTCGGAAAATATCATCGTAAATGAGCCAGACATTGATAAAGCTTGTTAGTGTTTTCTGTTGTCTTTTTAACAGTCTTGCATATGTATTCATATAATGTGCATGTGCAATTTGGTATAACCACATTCATTTCTATTCACACAATTAAACCTTTCCAAGCGTCCATTGTGTTCAATGAGTTCATTGTCAAAAATAATGTTGATTGACACACGCATAGACCTCGCATGAAATTTCACATGAAGTTCTCCATCACACATGGATTTCTGTGTTGCATACCCTTATATTTCTTGATTAACTAATTTTCTCACAATGACTTTTGATAAGTAGGATCTTTTGTGCATGTCACCATAGTTGTGTGCCCTAATCTTTTATCTACCTTTGATTGTTGACTTGTCTTTATCTGTTCTTCGTGCAGCGTTGAATGGCTAATTGTGGATGAATCTGATAAGCTATTTGAAGAAGGAAAACAAGGATTTCGCGAGCAGCTAGCATTGATCTACAAAGCGTGTGACTCCATGCAAGTACGTCGTGCCATGTTCAGTGCAACGTTTGCTTACGATGTCGAACAGTGGTGCAAACTGAATTTAGATAATGTTGCGTCTGTCACTATTGGTCAAAGGTGAGGAATCCATGCTCAAATTATCATAGCGGCTCAAAAAGTTGCATTTTTTTGGTTGAAGGGGGAAGGGGAGGGGTGCTCATTATATTGCAATACCTCAAATGCTTGTTTGGAACATTTTTTGAATGTTTCTCACATCATTGTATTGGAAAATAGTCAACCTAAATTAGCAGCTTTATAGTGTCAATCCTTTGACTGCCAAAGTTAATTTTTGTCAACTTCCACAAAATAAAACATTTTTTAAAATATTTTCTTCAAAATTTTGATCATGATCTGTATCCAATATGATATTATTTCAATGTATATATTTGGTCCAAAATTAACAAAAAATACATAAAAACAAGCAAATTGCTTGGCGGGAAAAATGGTGGCGCTGAAAGGATTAATATCTAATAAAAAGTGTTACATATTTAGGTTACTAGTTTTCAAGTCGGCAGAAAATTTCTTGTTGTCGTAAGGATGATCTATTATCAGCACAACATAGTGCACACCTAAATTTCCAAGTTTCACACCTGCTTTCTTTTATACTGCTAAACTAGTAATTTCTTTCATAGAAATTGTTTTAAAAAAGATCAAAGCATTTGTTTTCTTCTTATCTTTTCTGTGCAAAACATTACTCCCTCATGTGAGACTAATTTTTTGTTTTTTTCCAGGAATGCAGCAGTTGACACTATTGAACAGGAGCTTTTGTTTGTCGGCCAAGAATATGGTAAACTACTAGCAATCAGGGACATTATTAGGAAGGTAAAGTTTGGAAAAGTTTATTTTCCAAATGTTTGATCAAATCCTGTATAAAATGCTATGTTACAGACTGCACACTTTTAACAATTTTTCCTACAAAAAATTCAGTATAAATTTTTACACATTTTAAAAATTTTTCTTAAATTTCAACATAATTTTGAATCATATACACAGAGATTGACTTTTAGTTTGTGACTCTCGTGTGCGAAGCATTTCTGTAGTATATTTGACGTAGAAAAAGGCTTGAAGTTTAAGCTTATTGACTAAAACTTTGCTTTCTATACAGGGTGTTCAGCCTCCAATGTTGGTATTTGTACAGTCTAAGGAAAGAGCTAAAGAGTTATTTCTTGAACTCATCTATGATGGTATTAACGTAGACGTCATTCACGCCGATAGAACACAAACACAGGTCAGTGTCATCTGTACTTTGTGTGTTATAACACATTTTTTAATTTTAACTGTTCGCCATCATAACTCATTTAGTTATAGGTTGTTTTTCTTTACATTCAAATCATTCAACACTTTTTTTACAAAAATGTAGAAATGCAGATAAAAAAAAGAAACATGTATGTGACAAATTTGTTTGGCTATTTTGCTATTTAAAAAGAAAGTTCTCCCAGTTTCTACAATCATATTGTAAACAGTATCATCACACAGTTGAAGTACTAGCAATATTGGAAAATTGCAATATTGGAAAAGTTAACCTTGCACTCTATCTAAATTTATCAGTACGCCATTTCAAAACTGGTTAGTTGTTACTAAAATTCTATGCATAAAACAAGGCGTGTTTATTCTGCTTTTATGTTAAATGAAAACATTTGAGATACAAGCATGCCATGTTAGAGGATTACTTTTGACTGTGCACTTTGATACATATTATGATTATAGAGTGAAATGTCAACTCTGCCTTATCGCGCCTTCTTATTTCTATAGAGAGACAACGTTGTGAGGAGTTTCCGTGCTGGCAAGATATGGATACTGATATGTACAGAGTTGATGGGCCGCGGTATTGACTTCAAAGGAGTCAACTTAGTCGTCAACTATGACTTTCCGTCATCAGCTGTGAGCTACATTCATCGAATTGGACGTACTGGTAGAGCGGGCAGAGCTGGGAGAGCTGTGACATTCTTTACACACGATGATGTGACAAACCTCAGGAGGTGGGTTTTAAAACTGATACTGAGAGTTTGTTGTGAATGTGGTAGAGTGAAAAAATTGATTATCTAGTACAAATATGTGCAATTAACATTTAACAGTACCCGGTATGTAAAATGTATGTTGGCAGTACAAATAAACACTGAGAGAGCCATGTGACTTGTTTCGACCAATCAAATTGTGCTCTATTCACTCTTAATCATTGTCTTCTGTAAAGTACTTTATTTTAGCTGGAATTAATTTTTGGGTGTTCTGTATGGAATTTATTTTCACCGATTTCTGATGAATTGAATGTAAAATATAGAAAAAATTTTGTTTCCACTGAATCAATCCTTCCTCGAAAATTAATTCCAAGCGAAAATAAAGTATTTTACAGTACTATTCCACTGATCTCTGTAACCAAGGTACCGTAATGGAATAGTGAACAAAATGAGGGGAGAATATAGAACTCTATTTGATGCTTTTCTCACTGTCAAAAGGTTCTCAGTGGACTATTTTACTTGATTTTGTTTTATTTATGTTTTCATTCTGGGCCACTCGGATGAAGCATGTTTTGAACTGCACCAAAATAGTACACGTAAAGAAGTTTGTAAATTTGTCTGCGATGGACATAATGTTTGTAATGTATGATTGTTTTTAGAGTGGAGTAGTATTTCCAAACATGTTATTTAGTTTTCCCAGCTCATATAACATTTTTTCTAAATACTGATCTGATAGAATGAGGTTATTGAACTTTGTCTGTTTATTGTTTGTAATAGTAATTGCTAATGTTATTGGTTTGATCTATTTGTTTGTATATTGTTTCCTCATCAGTATTGCTAATGTCATGAGTTTGATTTATTTGTTTGTATATTGTTTCCTCATCAGTATTGCTAATGTCATGAGTTTGATTTATTTGTTTGTATATTGTTTCCTCAGTATTGCAAATGTCATGAGTTTGATTTATTTGTTTGTATATTGTTTCCTCAGTATTGCAAATGTCATGAGTTTGATTTATTTGTTTGTATATTGTTTCCTCAGTATTGCAAATGTCATGAGAGAAGCTGGATGTCCTGTACCAGACTACATGCTAGAATTACCCAAACCTAGCAAGTAAGAAAATTTAAAAATTTGTTTTTAAAAAATTGAAAATTGAATGAATTTCAGGAAATTTATTGATCTAATTTAGAGTATGTTTCATTTAAACTTTCAATATTGGATTTAAATATCTAGTTGTAGACGGTATCATTTATTCTTTGAATGAAAATGATTGTCATCATGACTGTACATGTCAATTTTATGTGAACAGTTTTTGTTGGGGAATATCTACAAATTCCAAAAGAGTGAAAATTTCACTGTAGTCGTTAATTATAAGGAGTCAATCACTTTGGTTATCATGACATTTGACCATGTGCCTGTCTTTGAAACATCTGTGTCCATCCCTGGTCACTACAGGATATCTACCACATATGTATGAGAAATTAAAGCGAAAAAAGGTTTGTGTGAATTTTTATAATGACTGAAAACAAATCTGGCAAGTGGGCAGAATGTTTAAATTTTTGCGATTTAGAAAAGTAGCCAGCAACAGAAAATGTGAGACCTCACTCGTTTTTACATAGCATTAACAAAAAAACCTCTGCAGCTGCATCTACTATAAGACAATGATCAATTCACCTACGCATACATGTTTTTAACTCACAGGAAAACAAGGAAGCAGCTGGCAAAACATGAAGTGAAGAGAGAGACCATCAGAACATTACCCACAGATATACTGCAAAGGACAAAAAGGAAAAAGTATGATACTGTGAAATACTTTATTTTAGCTGGAATGAATTTTTGCTGAAAAAACTTTTTGGGTGTTTTGTATGGAATTTATTTTCACTGATTTTTGATGAGTTGAATGTGAGACATAGGAAAAAAAGTATATTGGCTGGATTTTATTTTCACTAATGCATCACTTCAGTGAAAATAAATTCCAAGTGGAAATAAAGTATTCTACAGTATTTGTTTTTAGCAGTCAAGTACATTGTACATGTGACTTACATGATAAAGAATCATGGTTCAGATTTATTTGTTGAATTTTTGTTATTTTCCAAATACGAGGAAAATTACTATATCAGCATAATAAATTGAATATCCCAGTCTTGCATTATTAATCAGATTCATCGTCAAATCATAATTTATTTGAAGATTATTTACATTCCATCTCATTTTGAATGCAGGGTCAAAGTTTCTTAAACACTGACTAAAAAAGCTGTAGGTCTATAATGGCTGCTTTACACTTCACTCAGTTTTCAGCACTGAGGACACTGCTCTAAAATAATGAGGTTATCGATAAACAACACATCAACACAAAGCAAGACTAACGTACATTTCTAGAATTAGTAGATCAGCGAGTCATTGAAATTGATTTTTCCTGCGTCATTGCGTATTTGCACGTTTTTCGAATTTTTAATAATGCAATAATCTCACTTATTTCTGTTTCCATAATTAATTTGAACATTCTGTGATGACTTTTGTCAGAAATGTGTATGACTGACAAGTGTTTGGAGCTCACACAGAATAGCATTCTCATTGCATATCACCATATATGGACATGTAATTTGCATATACACTAGTCTTGGTCAAGTCTATGTAAAACTACATGGGGCTAGTAGAATATCTTAAAAATCCTCTACTAAACATACTAAAGAATACAAACGTCATAATTTCAAGAATTCAGATTGCGCCTGATCAGATCTTTGAATATATGTACGGTACCTGCTTTTAAAAGTCGTCTGTTTTCTTTGCTCTAGGAAATTTATCAAAATGATCAAGCAGAGAAGGGATGAAGACCGCAGTGTTGTCAATGAAAATGAAAAAAAGGTGAAAATCAAAACAAGAAGGAAAAGTAATGAAAAGCCTGTAAAGGAAACTGCTGATGGTGGTCATGTTACAGAACCAAACAAAGTGAAGGAGAAGAATTCAAAAACTGACACAAGGACTGAAACCATTTCAAAAACTGCTACATTAAATGTAAAGCAAGTTCATCGAAAGGAAAAATCAGTCACAAAGAAATCAACACAGAAAACAAAGAAAAACTTATGATGATTAAAATGCATCTAGTTTTATCCGAATGCTTTTTAGATTCAAGAAAATTATTTGTAGTACAGTCAAACCAGTGTTAGTGGCCACCTCTATATAAAGACCCACCTGCCTATAGTGACCACATCTATGTAAAGACCCACCTGCCTATAGTGGCCACCTCTATATAAAGACCCACCTGCCTATAGTGACCATCTCTATATAAAGACCCACCTGCCTATAGTGGCCACCTCTATATAAAGACCCACCTGCCTATAGTGG